CACGTAGAGTAGAGCCATCTCGAACCTGAGAAATTCATAAGATTTATTTGGCGGTGGGTATTCAGATTTTTAATTAGATTCTGCATTGATAGTACGCCTAGTTACCTAGTTTTGATTAGATTCTGCATTGATAGTATGCCTAGTTACCTACGTAATGGTTATTACGAAAAGAGGGCAGAAAATTGCGAAGAATCAACTTACCATTTCCACCACAGCATCAACCGGTTTCTGCTTGTAGTGGTCAACGAGCTCTCTGGGGTTCTCTATCACCCACTTCACTTCTCGTATCGAACTGCTTGAGCTGCCCTACTTTCCCTTTCCAGAAGCTTTTGCTTGATCTTGCAATTCAAGTAATTTCGTGACGTATTCACTGGAAAAGAAAATTCTTTCACATAAAGTGTTCCTGCTAGGAACTCCACTTACTCGGCTATTTTTCCGGTCTGACCTCAAGCCAGCCTTCTGACACTCCTGTCTCCGTGATATTTTCAGCATTATCAGGTCTAAAGAAAAAGATTTCAATAAACTGAATGCAAGCAGTCATGACTAAGTGCACACTCACTAGTGCCTCCGAGGTAGATTTTTCCATGGTCTCGTCCAGAAGCAGCCGTGTATTCCTTCACAAAAGTGACTACATGTCCGACCAGTTTTTTGCGAAGAAATTCACGTGAATCCTAAGCTGGCTAAAAGAACGATAAACGAAGAGCGCAAAAAAATTTCAATGGGCCTGTTTGATAACAGCTTGATAGTGTAAAGAAATGGTGAAGATAAAAACACACAAAATACATCAGACGCAAGGAGAAATCATCAGACCTCATCAACTGTAGCTGCCGTTGTCTCAGTAGGACGTTTGCCAAGTCGAGGTGCGATAACGTTACTCAGATAGACGGTGGTCTCGGGTGGAGGCCCATTGGTTGGCTGGCCTTGAAGCACTACTGCATCTCCGGATAGCACCTGGAATCATAAAATACCAGATGCACCGTAATTCGGAATATCGACTTAGCAACGGTAAAGCAAAAGAAGAATTTTCCTAGTCAAAATTAAAAACCTAAGTGAATCAGCATTTGTTTTTCATTTCCTTTCACCCTGATCAGTGAAGAAACTCAACGCAAACGGCAAACAAAACAGCCAAATGGA